GATTAAATACAACCAGTCTGAATCAGCAGCATTGAATCTATTTACAGTTTCTAAATATCGGTATGCCAATCCATTGAAAATATAGTAATCCTGATTTTGTTAACGTTGGTTTTGGTCTTGTCACTGTAAATTAGTTATTTATGACATTCATGAGGGGTAATATAAGTCTTTTTAGTATTATTTGATGTACTAAAACTACAAACTTTTCCCAACATCGTTTCGTTTAAAGTTTCCTAGTGCCCTTGAAATTCACAAAACAATCAACAATATACAAACAAACATGTGGAGCTCCATTTCTTTCCTGATACAACGTCTGCAATCAACATCGTCAACATCTTTGTTCGGCAAATTCTGACCATTTTTAAATAACACTAATTCTGCCTCTGGACTGTCGTTCAGTGAAATAACCTAACAACCTGTCAAGTTTCACGTCAGAAAACTATGACGCGTCTCGTGATGTCAGTTCACAATTAGTGAGCCATTGTTACATTACATTCATTCTGCGGACGTTTCTCTTGGGTTTCGTACACTTGAGAGATCTCTGTTACAAATTTGCAATCCTAATTGTACGCCTATGTCATTTTATGGCGGTGCAACTAAGAGTGACTCAAAATGTAATTTTCTTCTGATTGGTAATCCACTATCTATGTTCATGTCCCAGCTCAGTGATATTTGCAACCAATGATCAGTTTATTGTTCAGTGTTTCCTCTAGGTTTACAGCGTTGGGGAGGGGGGGGACACGCTGACACAAACACTTGAAGGAGTCTTGGTGTTCATGTGTTACTTTTAATGTCAGCTGTCCTTTTCTATCAGTAAGGTATCCTTAAATGACTTCTTTCCCTGATTTCCGACTCTATCCACTATCATATCCCTGCAATAAAGACACAAAAATAAAGACACAAAAAGCCCCAAAAAAAATATATATATAATGTTAATATATAACATGTATAATGGTAGTGGAAACACTGTTGTTGATGTACTTTCTCCGGGTACAGTATGTGTAGGATTGGATCAATATGGTGAAATGATTGGCAGTAAAATCACAGGAGTCTTCACTGATCATGACATCTAGTCAAGGAAAGAAAATGTTTAACACACCATCTCATGCTGACAGCTCACACAAGGATCATGATAGAAACATCACATGACAAATGAAAGAATCTTCCTCTTTCCACAGCACCCTGGCAGAGATATAAATTATATTTAAGCTTAATCCCTCCGTGTGGGTTTAACTGAACGAACAGACAAGCGATATAAATCACAGCTTTGAGAAACTGGTAAACCACATATGAAGCGAATGAGCATGATTATAAAGCTGGCTGAAGAAGCTAGCATCGAGCTAACAAACAAGCTGCTTACATTCTGGAGGGGAACACGTCGATCCTTTCTTTTCCAGACATCGTCTCGTCTTTTGGTCGATGATTGAGGTTGTTCTGTTCACTTCAGCTTCCACAAACTAACACGGAAACCTCACCTTGTTATTCTACTGTAATAAACTAAGCATTAAATACGGGTGTTATTCGTGCAGGGTTTAGCAGCACAGATCGGGTGTAGGGGGGGCTTGATGGTCGTGATCTTGTCCCGGTGACGATCAGCTGGTCTCTGATCATGTGACTAGACGTGTCGCGGTTCTGCACATGCGCGCGTTTTGGGGGGGGGGGAGAAAAAAAAGAAGCTACCTACGATCTTTTTCCGGGTCGCGATATTTAGCACACCCTCATGAATGTGAGCTAGCGGGCCCGAGTTCTTCTTTTGAAAAATATCTCGGAAGAAACAACAAAAAAAAGTGGACATTTAAACACTCCCGACGCGGAAAATAACATTTTATCGTCCCGTAACCACATGATACAGGTGAGTTTTAATAGACGAGGACTTGTGTTGGAGAGAGAGCTAGCCGGAGAGCTAACCTGTAGCCTCCTCTCTGCTGCATGTGCCGCATGTGAGTCTGAAACCGGGTTTATTAGCAAAGGAAGCTAACGGGTGTTTAAAGTAACTGTTCGTCTTCCCTTTTTGCTGAACACCGTCTCTTTCTGTCTCGTTTCATAAATAGCCAGTCTCCTTGTTGACATGAGACAGTCCTTTAAACGAGATTGTGTTTGTTCTTGTGTGTAACAGTTTCAGTCTTGTGCTGGTGTGCGTTGCATCATCCCATTCAAGACACACAAAATGTGGAATAAAAACAGCCAGTTCTCCCAATCTCAGATCAGGTGTTTAGTGAAGCTTTCCCAGGGTTAACTCAAGGCAGATCACCTGCTTTTAATAAATAAAAACAACAACTAAGAAACAGCGAGAACCATTTTAAACACGAATCTGTTTTTATAGATTTTTTTTTTTTTTTTTTTGGTGTGTTCTTGATATTCTCTGTCTACTGTAATTATTCACATCGTTATCTGTTGGGAGTTGGGAATGGACAAATATTTCTTTTAGCAACCTTAAAAAAAAAAAACATGAATTGTAACATCATGATGAGTTAAAGTGACATATAGATACAGAACTGGTGAAATAGTTTGTGCAAAGCTGTCATTGTCTCCATTGTTGGTGCTTTGTTTTTTGTTTTTTGTTTTGCTTTCTATAGCCTGTTGACAAAGGTCTCCAAGCATTCATGGCTTGTTGAGACTGCATGAAAATAAATATAATATAATATAATATAATCACTTTATTGATCCCAAAGTGGGAAATTGTGGCGTTTACAGCAGCAGGTTGTCCAAACACACAATATGAGTAAAAAACACAAAGTTAGAAAATCTAAACACAATATAATATTAAATATAAAGTAAATAAGCACTAAAAATATCAAAAATAAGAATGTGAATATATACAACCAGGATTTAACTAAGCATTACTAGTCTTAAATATGAAAGATTAAATGTAAATGTGCAAGAACAAAGTTGTAAATGGACAGTATTGACATAAAGTGCATGAGTGTAGACATGTTATAAGCAGAAACTATTCATTATAACGGCGAGTAGACAGATAAATGAAGTGAACATGTGTGCAGGGATCATTTGTAAATATGTGCAGAACAGATTACAGTAAGGAGCGACTGATATTATCATGATGACAGTTCTCTGCTGGCATGAGGTGAGCTGTTTGTACAGAGTTTATGGCTTTCGGTAAGAAAGATTTCTTGTATCTGTGTTTGTGACAGCGGGGTTGTATCAGTCTGTTGGAGAAGCTGCTCCGCTGTTTGTCCAGTAGGGAGTGCAGAGGGTGATCAGGATTATCCATCATGGATAACAGTTTGTTAAGAGTCCTCCTCCATGTCACCACTACAGAAGAGTCCAGTATAAATCAGTTTATACTTCAGGTTATGACTCTGCTGCCGATGCAAGTTTCACCAGATAAACAATGGATGCACTTTTTGAGTTTGTGTAATGGTTATATTAGATTTTGTTTTTAAATGACTGTGTAATGTCTTTGATATGTCTCTTGAGCCTTTTGGGCATCTGGGGCTGAGATATTTATGTAAAAAAAAAAAAAAAAATCCCATGAATTTCATTATTGCTGGAGCAGCAGAGGCTACACCTGCTAACCTTCAGGTCTAGTCTTTAGTAAGAACCTTTGATGGGTGATTTACAAAATTGGTAATAATAATATATTGTTTTTTATAGCGCTTTTCTAGGAACCCAAAGACGCTTTGACAAAATATAAAACCATAAAAACAAAACAAAAAACGACGAGGACAGTACAATAAAGAAGTAATGTAGGGGGAGGGGGGGGGAGTTAGTGGTTGTAGGCAGTGTTGAAGAGGTGAGTTTTGAGGGATTTCTTGAAGGAGGTGAGTGTGGGGGGGGGTCTCTAATGTTTTTTTGGGAGTGAGTTCCAGAGGGTGGGAGCAGCAACGGAGAAAGCCCTGTCCCTTTCCGGCGGATTTGTGGGAGAACATATTTGACAGATTTTTTTTTAAATCCCCGGTCTCTCTTTGTGTCAAAATTCCTCAGCGATGCCAGGGCTCAGCTGTCGATTTTACCAGCACCGGTTCCCGGAGGTGGAGGATGTCGTGATGGTGAACGTGAGGTCCATCGCTGAGATGGGCGCCTACGTCAGCCTTCTGGAGTACAACAACATCGAGGGCATGATCCTCCTGAGCGAGTTGTCCCGTCGACGTATCCGCTCCATCAACAAGCTCATCCGCATCGGCCGCAATGAGTGTGTGGTTGTTATCCGAGTAGACAAAGAGAAGGGTGAGTTAGAGTTGTTGTTGTTTTGTTGTTGTGGGTTTTGATTGGGCTTTGAAAAACATGTCTCTGAATGTGTCTGCACTTACACCAGAAAGTGCCTACATGACAGAATCTAATTTAGAATTCAGCATTTTTAATCTAATCTAGCAAACTGCCAGCTGTCTTCTTCCTTCTACTTTGTGTTCACATCCTGTCCTGCTGTGAGTCTTCACTGATGATGTCTCTTCAATTTGTTTATAGGATACATCGATTTATCAAAAAGAAGAGTTTCACCAGAGGAGGCCATCAAGTGTGAAGATAAATTCACTAAATCTAAAACTGTAAGTCAGAGCTTGTTCTTCTTTTTGTTTTCCTCATACGAACACATCATTACGATAAGAACAATGTTCAGCGTGTACATGTTTTCTCATTCATGACAAGCTTATAACAACTGTAGCAGAATGTAAGCATCACAGACACTTTATTTACCGCCGGGGGGCAGCAGGTCGTTGCTCTTACTCACTATATAGCAGTAAAAATAGAGGAATTAAATAAGAAATAAAGCATTAGTTCAATGAGGGCAGAGTTTCTGGAGGAACACGGCTATGTACAAAAAGTGCAGAATTTATATTTCAGAAGTGAGTGTCTTTTATATGAACTTTTGAGTCAGTATGGGTGATGCGGGTTGTTGTGTTTACAGGTGTACAGCATCCTGCGACACGTGGCCGAGGTGTTGGAATACAGTAAGGACGAGCAGCTAGAGAGCTTGTACCAGCGCACCGCCTGGGTCTTCGATGAGAAATACAAGCGGCCTGGATACGGAGCCTATGATGTCTTCAAACAGGCCGTGTCGTAAGTGGTTGTTTTTGAAGCTTGTCATGAAGACTGTCTCGAAGGCATAAATATGAACTAATAAGTAGAATGTCAGATCATGCATTGAATGTCTTCCCTCTACAGAGATCCTGCCATTCTCGACGGGCTGGAGTTAACAGAGGAGGAGAGGAATGTGCTAATCGATAACATCAACAGGCGACTCACCCCTCAGGCTGTCAAAATCAGAGCCGGTATGAATTTGAATATGAAGATGACAATTGGCCGTTATTTCCTGTAGCTGTTACACGACTGCTTCTCAGTATTTCATTGATGAAGTGACGATGTTCCCCCTCTCTCCTGCAGACATTGAGGTAGCATGTTATGGGTATGAGGGCATCGATGCTGTGAAGGAGGCTCTGAGGGCGGGGCTAGGCTGCTCCACTGAAGCCATGCCAATCAAGGTAATGTTCCCACGGTCCTAACAATACCTTCTTATTGCTGTTATCTTTTCTTTTCTTTCTTTTCTCAGCTCTTTTAGTTTCTTACATATTTTTAAATCTTTGGTCCTCTTGGTCTCAGCTCGTGTTGTTGGGTTCTTGTGTTGCCTGGGTTCTTATCATGGTTCTTGTGATGGTCGGGTTATACAGTGGGTACGGAAAGTATTCAGACCCCTTTACATTTTTCACTCTTTGTTTCATTGCAGCCATTTGCTAAAATCAAAAAAGTTCATTTTATTTCTCATTAATGTTCACTCAGCACCCCATCTTGACAGGAAAAAAACAGAAATGTAGAAATTTTTGCAAATTTATTAAAAAAGAAAAACTGAAATATCACATGGTCATAAGTATTCAGACCCTTTGCTGTGACACTCATTTTAACTCACATGCTGCCCATTTCTTCTGATCCTCCTTGAGATGGTTCTGCTCCTTCATTGGAGTCCAGCTGTGTTTAATTAAACTGATTGGACTGATTAGGAAAGGCACACACCTGTCTATATAAGACCTTACAGCTCACAGTGCATGTCAGAGCAAATGAGAATCATGAGGTCGAAGGAACTGCCCAAGGAGCTCAGAGACAGAATTGTGGCAAGGCACAGATCTGGCCAAGGTTACAAAAGAATTTCTGCAGCACTCAAGGTTCCTAAGAGCACAGTGGCCTCCATAATCCTTAAATGGAAGAAGTTTGGGACGACCAGAACTCTTCCTAGACCTGGCCGTCCAGCCAAACTGAGCAATCGTGGGAGAAGAGCCTTGGTGAGAGAGGTAAAGAAGAACCCAAAGATCACTGTGGCTGAGCTCCAGAGATGCAGTAGTGAGATGGGAGAAAGTTCCACAAAGTCAACTATCACTGCAGCCCTCCACCAGTCGGGGCTTTATGGCAGAGTGGCCCGACGGAAGCCTCTCCTCAGTGCAAGACATATGAAAGCCCGCATAGAGTTTGCCAAAAAACACATGAAGGACTCCCAGACTATGAGAAGATTCTCTGGTCTGATGAGACCAAGATTGAACTTTTTGGCTTTAATTCTAAGCGGTATGTGTGGAGAAAACCAGGCACTGCTCATCACCTGCCCAATACAATCCCAACAGTGAAACATGGTGGTGGCAGCATCATGCTATGGGGGTGTTTTTCAGCTGCAGGGACAGGACGACTGGTTGCAATTGAAGGAAAGATGAATGCGGCCAAGTACAGAGATATCCTGGAAGAAAACCTCTTCCAGAGTGCTCAGGACCTCAGACTGGGCCGAAGGTTCACCTTCCAACAAGACAATGACCCTAAGCACACAGCTAAAATAACAAAGGAGTGGCTTCGGAACAACTCTGTGACCATTCTTGACTGGCCCAGCCAGAGCCCTAACCTAAACTCAATTGAGCATCTCTGGAGAGACCTGAAAATGGCTGTCCACCAACGTTCATCATCCAACCTGACAGAACTGGAGAGGATCTGCAAGGAAGAATGGCAGAGGATCCCCAAATCCAGGTGTGAAAAACTTGTTGCATCATTCCCAAGAAGACTCATGGCTGTACTAGCTCAAAAGGGTGCTTCTACTCAATACTGAGCAAAGGGTCTGAATACTTATGACCATGTGATATTTCAGTTTTTCTTTTTTAATAAATTTGCAAAAATTTCTACATTTCTGTTTTTTTCTGTCAAGACGGGGTGCTGAGTGTACATTAATGAGAAATAAAATGAACTTTTTTGATTTAAGCAAATGGCTGCAATGAAACAAAGTGAAAAATGTAAAGGGGTCTGAATACTTCCCGTACCCACTGTACATGTCTGTTGGGTATCGTGCACTTTGGGTTCTTTTCTGTTGAATTGTATTTAATTATTTTTAGTATTTTGCATCTGTTATGTTCTTGCTGTTGTTTATGTTCTTCTGTGTTTGGTTTGCTTTGTTCTTGTTCTTGTTTTTGCTGTTTCTCAAAGCACTTTGTAAACCTGTGTTTGTAAAAGGTGCTATAAAAATAAAGTTATTATTATTATAATAAGTAACCTGTTGGTTTTAGGCTGTCAGACCTGTACGTCAATCAAACTGGGATGTGTTGTAAATCAGCTGTGTTCTTTTTCCCAGATCAACCTGATCGCTCCCCCTCGCTACGTGATGACGACGACCACGCTGGAGCGCACAGAGGGCCTGTCTGTCCTCAATCAGGCCATGGCTGCGATCAAGGAGAAGATTGAGGAGAAACGAGGCGTCTTCAACATCCAGATGGAGGTGAGTGACCTTGGATTATTTTGTATGTTGTGTTTCTTATATTAACAATATCTTCAAGTTTAAAAAAAAAAAAAAAAAAAAATGGTGTTACATTCTACATAACCGAAAGCTCTAAAGGGAGTGGTGAGGGTATTTGAATAAATACTGTTAAGTTCTTAAGGTTTTTTTGAGACGCGATTCTGCATATTTTTGGGAATTCTGGATTTTTCGAACCTGAAAAGTCTACGGCCATATATTTGACGACTCTTTTTTGCTTATTCTTTTATTTATGGATAATCACCATCTTTAGAAACTAGTGGACGATCTCACCTTACTGTCCACACTCTGCAGGCGATCAGACAAAGACATATGTTGTTTCTTTTTTCCTTAAATGTTATGATTGTTGTGCAAGGTGTCATCTTAAATATCAACTTTTATTACATAGGACAGCTTGAGAGAGACAGGAAATACATGGAGGGAGGGAGGGAGAGAGAGAGAGAGGAGGATGACATGCACCAAACAGTGTCAGGATCAGGAGTTGAACCTGTGTCCAGTGTCTCAGTCTCTGTACATGGGGCATCTGCTTTACCAACTCTACCAGCTAAACCAGCTCCCCCAAATATGAACCCTTTAATGCCATTGTGTAAATCGTTTTGTGCAGTTGGTTGTTGCTGAAGTTTTTGGGTTCATTTTTTTTAAAGGGTTTTTGGACGTTCATGCCTTTTTATTTTTAGAGATAGGAAAGTGGATAAAGTTGAAAATCTGGGTGAGAGAGTGAGGAATGACATGCGGGAAAGGAACCCGGGGCGCCCCCCGCTCTTAAGGACTATGCCTCCATACATGGGATGCACGCACTCACCGCTTGGTGCCCCTTTTAATGTTTTTTAATTGACAGGGGCCATGCACAACATGAATGTTAGAGCAGAGTCAGCTATAAAGCTAATTTACATCCGTGGTCCCTGGACAGGAAGATCTAAGACACAAACATTACAAAACAAACAATTGTTAAAGTCCAGCCTTCTCACATTTTTTTTTTTTTATGATTTATTTTGGGCTTTTTTCGTGCCTTTAATCCAGAGAGAGGGCAGTGGATAGAGTCGGAAACCAGGGAGAGAGAGCGGGGAATGACATGCGGAAAAGGGGCCACAGGTGGAAGCGAATCCGGGCCTACCACTCGAGACGAGAGTCTCAATACATGGGACGCGCGCCCTACCACTGCGCCACCAGCGCTCCCCGAGTAAAACTTTTTAAAACAGGAGTTTGGTTTGGGCGACTTCATAAAACATCTTCATCTGCTTCTCGGTGCCGATGATGTTGTCCTTGTGTTTCTTGTCCTCTTGTGTGCTCCTGCTGCAAAACAAATTTCCCCTTGTGGGACAATAAACAATCTGAATTCAGCAGCTTTCTCCTCCCATTCAGTGTGTTGGCAGGCAGGTGCGAATGAGTTACTATGGTTACGGGGACACTTTGTCCTCACCCTTCTATTAATGAAAACTGAAACTCAAATAATGTCGCCTGTTCACTGCTACAACGTTTCACAGAAATGATTTGAAAATATTTGAACTACTCTGAGTGAAAATCATGTTGTGGAAAAAAAGTTTTTATTTTGTAGGTCAAATCTCAAGCACGACTTTATCAGTTTATAATAGC